TATCCTTGCGACTGGTAAAATATTCCTTGACGCGATTGAGTGCCCAAGAATTTCCTAATTTGAGTCTTGCCCGGCTAGTAGATCTCTATGCGAAAGGGTTGGAGTGTTTTGAAGCTACGAATTGCAAGGTACTTTGTTTACAGTCATGTGGAACCCTATTGTAATTGTAAAAGTAACCAGGCAATATCAAGTAATTCTCTAGGGTAATCGAAATTTGAAATTGTGAATATATTTTCTGGAAACCAATTTCTTGGAATGCTGTTTTTGAAATAAACTTAAGAATAAGAATAATAATTCTAATAAAAACAAAAAGAATTCTGAGCAACTTATAAATGTATTCATATATATACAATGTGAAAGTGACTTTCGTTTTGAATCTAATGTCTTGATTTTTCGTTTTGAAACGAACAATTTTAATCACGCATTGCAATCTCTCTAATGAAAACGACGAAGAAATGTTGAAATATTAGAGTTAAATAAGATTTCAGCAGCGTCGACTGTTTTGTAAGTAGAAGAAGTCGATAAATGGCCAGGCAATTTGAAAGAAGCAATTTTCATTTAGAGAAATGAGAATTTTTAATATTTATATCATTTGTAAGGATACAATTACTCTATTACATTCAAGCATGATATGCATTGTTCAATTGTATAAGGGAAATATGCAAAAAAAACTATTATTGTGTTGCAAATAATTGAAATATGCTTTCATACGATGAATACAGTTTTAATCGCTCCTTGGTAGGTTATAATTTATTCGATGGTTTCTGGAATACAGATACCGAGCTTTATTCAGGAAACGGAACATAACCGCTGTCGCGCTCATAAATCAATTATTGGTTACTATTTAGGGCATAGAAAATTGCTTACGGTCCGCTCTGTATTATCCGAATGCCTCATTAATTATCCACGTTCCGATTCTATCTGCATCGGTAAATGGGAATTGAATTACGTGCTGATTTCAAGAATTTCATTTTTCATTTCATGTTCTCGGACTCTGACATTCTTCGTTAATTCGGTAGAAGATACACTTGTTTCAAATAGTTTCCATATTCTTCATTTGTATAATCACACAGAAGATTTTTCATTCAAAATGAGTTCCATGCAGTCATTTTTAAAAATCAAAATAATTTGTAAACATAAAAAATATATTCTTATTCATAAATGTTATACTGATCATGTTATACATAAAATTAACTGTCCTCCTGTTTACCAAATTCTTCTCTTATTGATGAAATTAATGTTAAGTCTTATAATGTTAAAACTATTAACAACTTTTTTTTAACAATTAATAAATTCTATTAAACTTTGTTAAAATATGGAAGAACTTTCTTTTGATGCTTAAGGTTTGTTGTCGGACTGATATCGATATTATCGATGACTTTTAAACAATTTAATATCCAAACATTCTACAGGAGGCTTCGAAAGTCATTGAAATTATCGGTGCTTGATATTAATTAACGAAACCAATACTTCTTCAAGTAACATTAAAGCAACACAGATACCGTTCTGAAGTCATATCAGATTGATATTTCACTGAACCATCGATAATTGTTTCATACCTAATGAAATTGTCAATATCCATTTAATATTTTACGAAAATATCGATATTCCATTGATACCTTATTTTCGAATTAAATTTTTGTTTGTAATAAACAAAATATAATTATATATTTCTTCGTTGAGCGCATTGATTTTGTTTTGTATAAGTTAAACTAGATTTATTTTTCAATTTACAATAAATTTTCTCAAAAATTATCGTATTATTCCAGTAAAAAAAACTCTAGAATGCAGGTAGCAGAAAAATAGTTTTTATGCGTGCAATAATAAATATAATCAATGAATACAACGAGAACAGGAATTTATTTTTCTTAAATAAAGAAGAGAAGGTATCAAGCTTGAAAATCAATACATAATCAGAATAAATTCTACTAGTGGAAATCATTTTCACATCTCATTTACTTTAAAAATGAAATTCTTATTCTTAACATTTCAACGGCCAGTATCACAATATTTGCAATGATTGTAATACAAATTTGTATACATTTATGGGAAAATAGAAAGTAGAAAACTGCATAGAATTAACACGATACGAAAAAATAGATAATGCTATTTTTATGATTATGTTCTTAAACATTTGAGTTTACATAAAGATCTCCAGCCTAGTAATTATCGAGAAGTAAATATTCTATTTCATTAATCTCTGTCTTTAATCGATTGCATATGAATAGAGGTTGGAGAAGCGTCGCAAGAGGCTAAGGACAGTAGGTGGGTTCTTTCTTAGATCAATAGCTCGAGAAAGGACCGTGTAAATGCGAGCACCGCTGTCTGGGCATCGATCCTCGCGTGTTCCACGTATATGGGCACTTATTTCCTCTCCGGTCGCTTCGATTATACTCTCTTCACTTTCTATGAGCAATTTAAACGAAGATTTACGAACTACGATTCCCGGTGAACTGTATACTGTAACCTAAAAATTCGTAGTACCCTTCGTATTCTAATTTTTCTTTTGTGGTTTATTTATACTACTATACAAGTTACTCCATTATCTTCATATGTTTCTTTATTATCCACACCAAATTACTTAATATCAAACGTTACAAACATATTAACAAAAGAATTAGTCAATATTTTATATAACTCTTTCTCATTTAGTTCTGAATCACTTTCGGTAATAAATTACTCAAACAGAATAAAGAAATATAAGTTAATATGAAAATTGTACTACTCTAATATATATCACTTTTCAGCATTTCTTTCTCCGAAGAAATTGTGCTGCATTGCAACAGTTAAATGGAAATTAAGTTCTGTTGAATCACGACTAATCGTCTTTTTTCTCAAGGAGGAAACACTCTGCGTTGAAAGGTGTGAATGAAATATCCTCGTTCAACGTCCTTCTCGCGATTCATCATCCAGCCAGGACGTTCCTGAAATCGTTCAATCTACTTGCAGCCGGGCGCGAGAATTATTTTATTCTCAAATTATGTCCGCGTGGCATGGGCGAACAGAGACTGGTTTAATCTCGGTCTACGATCGTGTCGCAACGTTTTATCGTCCTTCCTGCCATCGTAAATGGTGTCCATTCTCTCTCCTCTTTCTCCTTTTCTACGTCCATTCGCGCTTGTCATACGAACGAACGTTCCATTGCCAAACCCGGTGATCACATGCAAGTGGGGCCTCAAAACATCTCTGTTATTTCTTTTCTTTGTTCACTTTTATTTCCCAAGTAATTTATTCGCCGCAATGAATCCTGTGTTTTGGTAAGATTGCCCGCTTAGGCAGATTAATTCCGTTGAGCTCATCCTTAGGTCTGTTTCTTCGCAATTTTAAAATATTCCGACACTAAGTTTTGAAACAATTGTTATCTGTGATACGTTTAAATTGTTCTTTCGCGATGTTATTTTAGTGTTCTTTCCTATTCTCTATTTCCTGTTAATCTTGAATGGCAAAAGATAAGTAGTATATACTGAAAGATTTTCTTATATTTCAATGAAATATGAAGTCTTAAAATAAAATAATTAGAAATATAAACGTAAAACATAAAAATTACTTTCTATTCAAATAGTTATTTTATTGCTGCATTAATGATGTAATTTTGAATTTGTTGCTTTTAAATTACTAATGTGAGAAGAATGGCTTTTGTTTTAGTGAAATGCGTTATTACAACAATTTGTCCCTTCAGTATGACATTTTTCGAAAATTGTAATAATTTATAAACAGTTAATCGGTAATCGTTCTTCCATTAATTGTATTTTTAATAACTAAAAGCGAAGAGAAATCGTTGCGCACATTGGTCTTGTAAATAAATCTTTTTTTTTTTTAATGAAATGGTA